AAACAAACAAAAAATGACTGTAGTCACACACACACACACACACACACACACACACACACACACACACACACTCCTATCTTCCTGGGCTTTACTTTTTTGTAAGATGGAATGTGTCTCTCACAGGGCTGCTTGGAGGGTCACAAGAGATCCTAGAGGGACCTCCCTGCAGACTCAGGCCACCCCCTCCCCAGGAGCATATTTGGGGCTTCAGAACCCCAAATATGCTAGAAACATCAGGTTGGGTTTGGGGTTGCAAGTAATATTATGTGTCACTTGCAAGAGAAAATCTTGTTGCTGTCCCCAAATAGAATTCTCCCTTTTCCACCCTTGTTTCTGCTATTTAGCCACCCTGTAGCTTGGGGAAGGAGCCGTTACTACATACCAGACACAACTTTGAGCACCCTCATATAACTAATGTTACTTTCTCCTGCCAGTGCCCCGTATAACCAGGCATTATGTAATATTTCCACATTGGCAAACTGAGGCCTAGAGAGATTAAATAATTGGCCCCAGAGTAACCAGTGGGAAGCTTGACAGCAGACAGTCTGATTCCTAGCCAGGGTTATGGAAGGCTGCATAAATCAGAGCTCAGCTGTATTTAAAAATGCTAATATTTTTGTTCCTCATGAGTTTGTAAAAGTTTGTTTTTGGTTAGAGATGCCGCATTACAATACTATTCACCTTGGTTACTGACTTTTTTGGCCCAGTGCTGAACCATAGCCATTCTGCTGCTCTTGGAGATAGTAGAGGAGGCTCCTGCCATCCAGATGCCTGGGCCTGAGTCTTGACTCTTGCCACTTGCTTAGTGACATGAGTTGATTATTTAATCTTCTTGTGCCTTATTTGTCCCCACTCCCCCACCCCCGTCAGTAAAACAGGAATTTATAATTGTACCTGCAGTTTCCATCAGGTGAGGCAGTTAAACTGCTCAGAACAGCGCTACTGTGTAGTGGGTGCTCAGTCAGGGTCAGCACCACTGTGTTGATGGTTATCATGCCATGTACAAGCTTTGCTCTTCATGAATAGAGCAGAAAACAAGAGCAGGAGGGACAGCTCTGCTGACTGCAGCAGGTCATGTGTGCGCTGGCTGGTGGATGAGGGAGGAGGAGTTGCCTACTGGGCCCAGGAGAAGTCTGAGTTGTCACTGTCTCGGAACTGTTTTCTCCCTATCAGGTTGTCCATGAAATTCGGAACTACCCTTATCCGCAGCTTCACTTCCTTGCTCTCCAGGGACTGAATCCTAGTCGACACACCTCTGCTGTTCGGGAGAGCTATGAGGTATGTTGCATTGTGTGGTACTGACCGGTTGGTGAGCTACCCTTCATACACCATTCTCTCTGCCCGTCTGTGCCAATGGTAGATGCAGGTGGTGGGAAGTTCGGGATTGAAGGCAAGAAAGAGGGCACGAAGAGGGATTGCAGCTTCCCTCACCACACAAGTGCTTCCGGCTGGCAGTGTGACTGCTTCCTGCACACCTCTTCCACTCGGGTATCCTCCTTGAGTGCGTTTGTGTGTATTTGTACAGGTTGAGCACACATGCTTGTGTTTCCCTCTTTCCAGGAGCTGCTGCAGCTCGAGGACAGGTTGGGAAACGTGACTCGGGGAGCTGTACAGAACACCATTGAGAGGTTCACCTTCCCCCACAAGTACAAGAAGGTGAGGCTGTGTAGACTGGCTGCACAGTCAGGGCTGGGACGGGAGTTGTCAGCGTGTCTTCTTGAACCAGCCTGGCTGTCTGCAGGAGACACAGACCAAAACCCAGAAGCCTTTGCTCTGGTTACATGGCTCTTCAGGATTTTCTCATTGGCCCACAGCAGTTGTGGCCAGGAGGGAGGATGGGATGCTCTTGACAGAAAAGGGAGACAGGCTGAGTGTGCAGGTGTTGACTAGAATGGTCACTTGTGTATTTGTGCATGCGTAGGTATACAGAAACATTAGTGTTTGTATCAGTCTGGTGGGCGAAGGGGCTCCTGCACACGAGGCTAAAGAAAAATACCTTAGAAAACAATCCCAAGTCTAATGGGCAAAGAAGGTCTCTAAACAGTGTAGGGTTGGGCTCTTCTGGGGACATTTGAAAGTTTCAGAAGTAGAATCTGTAGGGTTGGTACTCAGAAACAGGAGCTTTTAAAACATCATTTCAATGAAAACTTGGAAGAAGCCAAACTGTTCTTTAATAAGTAAATAAATATAAACATCCATAACAGATTACTATTTTACAACAAGAAGTATCCCATTAAGCTATGGAAAGATGTGGAGGGAGCTTAAGTATGCACTGAAAAGTGAGAGAAGACAGCCACACAGGTTGTAAACTGTATACTTTGAACTACATGGCATTCCGAAAAACAATACTACAGAGAGATAAAAAGAAAGAAGGTCCAGGATTGCCTTTGTGGAGGGAAAGAACAGGCAGAGGGCCAGCGATTTTATTAGTGCAGCAAATTATTTTGTGTGGCACCATAATGAAAACAGGTGACATTATGCATTTACCAAAAACACAAGGCGGGATCCCTGAGTTAGTTAGCTTGCCCATTACTGTGAGAAAATCCCTGAGAAAAACAAACTTTCATGAGGGAAGATTCTTTTGGGTTCAGAGTTTGGGAAGTTTGTCCATGGTTATCTCTGGTTCTGGGATTGTGGCGAGGCCTGGTAGTCAGGAAACAGAGAGGGTACAAATGCTGGTAAAGTATGCCCTTCCAGGGAACACCCACAATGACCCACTTTCTCCAACTAGGTCCTACCTCCTAGTTCCCACCACCTATAATGTTATCAAAATAGAAATGCATCAATAGATTAATCAATTAATAAGACCAATGCCCTGAGGTCCAGCCACTTTCCAAAGCTGTCAGTGCACAGTCAAACATTTAACATTTCAGATCCAAATCTTAATTCATGGAAATTAATGAACTTCAGCTAATAATGGCCAGTATGGGTTCATCATTTGTCACAAATTTACCACATAATATGAGATATTCATATAAGGAGAAGCTATGAGGTGGGGCTACATCCTGCTCGTGACTTGGGTCCTGGCTAGGGGCAGTGAGGGAATGAAGAGAGGACAGACACACATGTTAGTATTCAGGCATCTGTATTGCCCTGTCCTTGGGGTTCTGACAGGATACGCCCTCAGCTGCAGTCACTAAGAGCACCATCTGTGCCTAGTCACTATCTTCCTTTTTAAAAGGCCCTGCCCACCTCCCATTTTTTTCTCTCTCTGCTTCTCTGCCTGTCTCTCTGTCTCTCCTCTCCCCCCTCCTCTTCTGCCACTCTTGTCCCCAGAGGCTGGTCTCTCCTCTCCCCCCCTTTCCCATTCACTTTCCCTTAGTAAAAAAAAAATACCTCCACCCAAGCCCTGTCACATGGCATCTTTCTCTTGAGCACTACTTTTTAAAATTACAACAACACATCCATGAAGCTGGGTTCAGATAGGGATCTCGAGCATTATCACCACAACCTGGAACCTCAGCATGCTTATTTTGTAGTGCAGGGGAAGGGGTTGGCTGGTGCCAGTAGGAGTTTCTGTAGGTGAGCAGTCCCAGACTGTAAATATCCAGGTGAGGGAAACTGAAGTTGCTAGTCTTTGCACACATTGATGAAGTGTGCATAAACACTCACACTTGGACTCTCAAGAGAAGCTTTGCCATTTCTCTTGAGACTGGGCCATATGGGTAGCAGATTTGCCAATTGTCCCATGGGTCTGGGGACTTGATTTGACTGTGAACATGTCAAGATACACACTCACCAAGGACTTCTTCACTCAGGGCTTCCTCAACTCCCTAGTGGGGGTTGGAGATACACTACTGATAGTTTTTATGTAACCTAGAATCACTGTACCAAAAAAAGTTAATGTTGAATCAAAGTAAAGCAAATTTAGGGAAATGAAGGGCAGTCCAGGGCTCATCATGGTGCACCCAGAGAACTTCATCCACTCTATTGAGACCCAAGACAGCAGTAGTTGGAATCACCTGGGGCTGAAGTCAGACAGCCAGTGTTGAATTTCAGTTCTTCTGAGTGTAGCTGTGTTGCTGTGGACTGTGGCCCATGCCTTCTATTTTCAACATGGCTGCTTCAGTGGGATGATGCAGCTTCATACACAGGGCCCGGTACCTACCTTGTGCTCAGGAACAGCAAATGGCTAGTCATTGTTCCCAATTCTTGTCTGTGTGCCAGGTGTCAGCATCAAGACCACAAATCATCAAATATGCACCTCCTCTGCATTTGTTACTTTTCTATTGTGATAAAATGCCATAACCAAATCAACTTAGAAAAGAAAATGTTTAATTGGGCTTACAGTTTCAGGAGGTTGGAGACCTTAGTGGCAGAACAAAGGCATGGCAGAAGAAAACTCCGAGAGCTTACAGCTTGATCCAAAAACAGGAGGCAGAGAGAGCACACCAAGAATGGCACAAGTCTCTTGAAATCTTAAAGTCTGCCCCTAGTGACGTACTTAATATTAGTTATAAATGCCTGGCTTTATCTTCGGCTCTTTTCTTGCTAGCTCTTACAACTTAACCAGTTTCTCTTCATCTACGCTTTGCCTTGGGCTTTTTACCTTCCTTCCTTCCTTTCTTTCTTTCTTTCTTTCTTTCTTTCTTTTTTTTTTTTTTGTATCTTACTTTCCTGCTGTCTCCATGTCTGGCTGGCAGCACAAACAACGTTATTAACAAAGGCAGCAGAAACAAATGTAACACACCTTTACACAGTTAAAGTACTAATCCCCAGCATAAACAAATGCAGCACATATTTGCCTAATTAAAATAATATTCCACAACACAAAGTTCTGTAAATAATGGAGAAAAAGAAAGATCTAAGAGACTAAAGACTGAGAAAAAGAAATGAGACGTGAAAAGAGAGAAATAAAGATTAGAAATAACTAAACAAGATACTGTTGAAGTAAAGCTCTGACACGAAAAGGAAATCATGAAAAACTATGGTGGGTAAAAGCTATAGAAACTAGGCATGTGGTTGGGGCTTAACACTAGGCATGTGGTTGGGGGTTGTTTTGGGCATTTCTTTTCTAGCAGGGCCAGTCCTGCTGACCCTTTGGCAGGCACATTGTCATGACAATAAAATATACTAAAAATCCCCCCCCCCCAAAAAAAGG